CCCTGGCAGGGATGCAGGGGCCGGGGCAGCGCCTCGGGGCTCGGAGGGCGTCGTGTGTGGCAGAGGGGGGCCTGGGCCGCGGGCCTGTGAGGGGACTGCGCGGGAGGAAGGGAAGCGCAGACCTCTCAGATCTGCTCCTGCCGGGTTTTACCCACTGAAGCTGGGCCAGGAGTTCGGTAAGTGCCAATGCAATTACCCAGGTAAATGTTTAAAGCCTGCCTGCCACCTTTGCACCTTCCAGCCAGAGATCTTAAGCGAGATGAAAAGATACTCAAGCATAAGGGGCTATTGTGTGTGGTAAGCAGCAGTCCAACAGCCATTCCCTTCAGTAAGGAGATTAAAAGGGAATTAAAACACCTTGCCAAACCAGATCTTGGGAGCATGCTAGTTGCTGTTGGATGTACTGTAGACGGTGCCAATGCACCTGGTTGCATTAACTTCAATGGGAAAGTGCCTTGTTACTCTTTCTAACCGTGTTTTGCCTTTGGGACAGCCCTGGGGCAGAGACAGGGCCCAGCTGTGTGCTGCTGGGGAGGGCTCCTCCTTGGCACAGTGGTCCTGCACGGCCCCAGACTGTGAGGCTGCACTCAGTGGACTGATCATACTTTCTTCCTCCATCAGTCTGTGAAGGTCAAAGTAATGTCGCCAAGGTTCTTCCTGCCATCTTTTCATAACCCTTACCAGGATTCATTACTTTTCATTTATGTGGTGCCTGTTGAGTCTCATTCAAAGAAATTTTGTTTGCAAGTTGGTATCTTTCTAGTTTTATATGTATATATATATATATATATATATATATATATACACGTCTGTGTAAATGGGAAGGAGTACATTACCATGAAGTCTGTTTAGGAAGAGTGCAAACTGGTATGTGTAGGTGTGTGCATTAGGGAGTGACTACTGGGGAACTGTGCAATAAGAAGTACAGCTCTCTTCTGAGAGTTTTGGAACCAGCATGATCTGTTTGATATCTGCTGTTGGGAAACACTGATTTGGAAAACATCATAACAAGCCTTGCAGCTGCACCTAAGAGAACAGTTCTCGCATCAATCCTTAGGTTAAATTGCAGAAATCATTCCTTTCTTGTGTGTTTAATTATTGAAAAATGCAGCTTTCAACAGCAATGAGAAAGCAGAGGGCCTATTGCTATATCTGTTTTTCCTGCCATATCTCATTAAATTAATTAAAAATCAACATGCGGCGACTTATCTCCTCATGGGCTTAGAAATATGTCTGCAGTACCCAGTACCAGACTAGTGCCTGCCAACTGCCAGAAAAATAAATAGAACATGAAATTAGTACAACAGATACTGGAACCAGTGTACCGTCATTGGAATAATGTACTGAAAATTGCACTCTAGTTCTGAAGTCCAAAATCTGCTCTTTTCACTCCAACATGAGTGCAAAGAAAAGCCTTCCCAGTCAGCTGAAACCAGGAAAAATAAGGTTACAGTTAATATCTTTGAAGCCATCAGCACAAGAAATGAATATTTTATTATGACTGGGACCTCATTTCAACACAGATCACCTAATGGGTGCCTTCTTTCCAGATCATGATCACATAATGATCATCTATTCTTCACTGAGAGGTCACATTCTTCTACTGCAATAGTTGCCTGTGTGAAAGTAGCATTTGGCAAATACATGGGGCATTTTCAAAGTCATAAAGCATGATTTAGAGACCTGCTGCCCTTGAAAGCCAATAGGTTCGGACATTTTCCCTCTGCTCTGTCTTTGAAAGCCTCCATCATCAGTATTTGCTTTTTCTTCCAGTGGCTGCAAAAAAAAAAGAAAATCCAGGGTGATATGACCAGTTACTTGCTCTGATTGTAACCACAGGCCACTGAATGAGAACCTCTGTTTTATCAGGGGTGCTGTGGAAAAAATGGAACACAATTCAGAGCAGGTCAGAACAGAAGAAGCTTTGTTGACTCTACCTGTAGGAGAGAGGGAACACAGAGCAGAGGGAAACTGACTTTGCTGGTACTAACTCCATACCTATGAAGTGGATGCAAAGTTTATATACACTTGGAGTCTCTTTGGAAGACAGGTAACAAAGTGTGAGTTAAACAGACCTGTTACCTACATAAGGCCACAGAACTGCAGCTTGCTTTAGCACAGAGACTAATTTCTCATGAAGGCTACACAGCGGTTATCCTTTCGGGACATATGATGAGAGTTTAACCAAGAGACCAGCTCAGATCTTAACATTTCCACTTCCACAATGGAAAACTGAAAATTGTTTGTGTTCCCTGACAGCTGATTGCTTGC